TGACGACGTGCTGGGCTGGTGGGGATAATTTTAGCTGTGCAGCCAGGCAGCCCTTCCAAGGGATAACTTTGTTTTTCACGAAGTGCAGAACCTTTATCTCTTAAAATACCGTGGAAATAATTCATGTCTTCAGCGTGCTGCTCCGCTCTGGCGCGCTGCTGGAGCGTGGTCAGGGGTGCCATTCAGCACACAGAGGGTTCTCTGTCCCCTGGCAGCGCTGCCCTGCGGTGCCAGCTGAGCGTGTGCATCCAGGCAGACGGGGATGCCTCGGCTGGCAGCAGTGCCAGCGCTCCCCTGGCTGCAGGGCAGGGCTGGGGCACCTCCTGCACCTGCACTCCTGGAGCGTCTTGGACAGAGCTTCGGGTTATTTTGTGTTCTGGCGCATCTGAGCAGTTTTGGGTTTTTTTGCTTGAAGTGTGGTGTGTAGGGAATGTGTGCTTGTAAACATCCCGTGGAAATGAAGGGCTGGGATTTGGCCTTCCTGGGTGTGCTGCTGAGACAAGGCTCAGCTGGAGGCTGTGTGTGTGGAAAAGGCACCAAAATGGGGTCTGGGGGGCTGTGGGGCCACTCAGGGATGCTCTCCCTGCCTTGGGGGTCCTGCCTGGGGTGACTGCAGGGACTGTGCCCGTGGCCCTGGTCCTTGGGGTCACCTTGCTGTCTTTGGCACCCTCTGACCTCCATCTGTGGCATGTGCCAAGCCTCTCCACGGGCTGTTGTGCAGAACATGATGGCAGAAGCTGTGCTGGAGGTGGGGTGGGCTCTGCCCATCTGCTTTTATATATTTGCTCATGATGATTCAGAGGGGGAACCTGCCAGCAGCTGCCGTCCCATCCTAAATCACTGATTAACTCCAACCACCTGGTGGAGAGGTTGTTTAATAAACAAATCAGTGCTAATTCTGCATGGGGGTGACTCTGGGACCGGGCCAGGCCCAGAGGACCGCGGGAGCAGGGCTTTGCTGACCTTGCTGGGAAGCGCAGAGAGGGGATTTAAACCTTGTGGAGCAAACGAAGCGTTCCGTGCTGCTGGTGCTGACCCCAGCGCTGCGAGGGCTGGGGCCGGGCGGGTGAAGCTCCGAACTGGCAGCTGCACATGCAGCTTTCAGGCACGAGGTTCTTGTTGCTGGATTCCTGCACGAACTGCGGGGCCAGGTTGGACAGATGCAGAACACTCCGAGCATCCGCGGGCAGAGCCCAGCTGGCCATTCCCAGCTCTGACCTTGCCCAAAGGCCCTCCCTGGGTAGCCCTGAGCTGCAGGAGTGTTGTGTGAGCCCAGAAAGGGTGCTGTGCTGCAGCCCTGGCTGGCTGTGGGGACAGACACCACATTGCTGCTTTCTGAGCACCCTTGGAAAGGCAGGCTGTAATCCGGTGCTGATTAGAGTGGCTGTTCCCTGGATTACCCATCCCGGCTGGCCCCTGCGTGCCTGGGGAGCTGTGGAGGTGCTGTGTCCTGTTCCCTGCAGCCAAATGAGGGCTGGAAGTGGTGGTCTGCCCTGCTTGGGGCAAGGGGCAGCTGGTGGGACTGACATTGTCCTCCTGTCCCTCTGCAGGGGCTTGCAGGGGACAGACAGCCCGAGCCTGCTGTTCCTGCTGCTCTTTGCTGTGGGGGAAGGAAGGGGCAGGAGTCTCAGTTCCTGTTGTCCACTTGAACAGTAAATACAGGCTATTAAGCAGTTTTCTTTGCAGGAAGTGTAGAAATCCTGCTCCGTGTGAGCACAGCCTCTGGCAGAGCCCAGAGCCCCGAGCAGCAGCATCCTCTGCTCCCCCTCTTAGCAGCATTAACCCTTCATGGCCAGACTCAGGCCACCCATCCTGCTGCTTCTCCCCCTGTCCTGGGTCCAGCTGAGCCAGAGCTTTCTGCTCTTTCCAGCTTATGCAGCAGACTGGCTGCAGAGTCAGCTCTGGGGAGAGCTCCCAGCTCTGAGCCAGCAGGTTCACTTTTCCCTGGCTGACCTGATCTTTCCAGCACAGGACCAGGCAGGGGGGGACATTTGTCTTCCTGACATCTCAGTTTGATGTGTTGTGGTTCCCTCAGTGTCCTAGCTGTCGTTTCTGGGGTGCTGACTGCAGACCTGGGGTCACCCCATAGTGCCCGGGCTGCTTCACTCATGGAGGAGGGGTGGGAAATCATGACACAATCCTTTACAAATGGCCTTTTTCAGCAGTTCCAAATTCCTTTGGAAGAGGCTTTTTATGTAAGAAGCAACCACTTCAGTCTCCTTGTAGTAACAGCAACCACTTCCCAGAAAGACTGAACTCTCAGTAGCTGAGGAGGAGGAGGGGGACACAGGGAGCACGGTGTGCTGCCTGGCTGCTGATCCCCTGCAGGATTCCTGGGGCTGCACAAGGTCCCTTCAGGCAGGTTTGGAGCCCTGGAGCTGGAGGTGCATGGCTGGGATGGAATTCAGCCAGCAGATGCCCGGCTCCCTGGCTGCAGAGGGAGGAGGAAAGTGGGGTGACCCCTGGGCTGGTGTGAGGGAGCAGGGACAGCCAGAGGGGTTATCTGAGGCTGCTTCCAGGAAAGGCTGCTGCCCTCTGACCTGCTGGGAGCTGTCCCTGTTCCTGCTCTTCCTGAGGAGGGTGTCGAGGGTGCAGTGGATGGGGAGGATGCGTCACTTTTAACAGGATATTTTGTTTAGATCCTTGGTGGCTGGAGCTGTGCAGGTGGACTTGTGTGTGCCAGTGTTCTGTCAAGGGGACTTTCCTGAAGGGATTGTCCCATCCTCACCAGCCCGGGTGGGAAAAGGGAGCCACGAGAGGTGATGGTGATGACGAGACCTGCAGCCTGAGCTGGTTGTGTTGCTGAGGCAGAAGGATTTTTCAGGCTTTTTGTGGTGGCTTTCCCTGATGCTGCGGTTGACTGGTCAAGCCAGCAGAGAACTTGGAAGGAAAACTTGCCAGCCCCTGGTGCAGCCCTGCTGTGAGTCATGTGCAGTGTCTGGGTGGTTTTGCTCCTGCGTGAGAGGAAGCAGCAGATTCTGTTGAGCCTTTGCAGGATTTGGCTTTGCTTGTTCACAGCCCTGGGGAAGAAGAACCCACAGGAGCTGAGGCTTGTCAAGGGGCTGTCCTGTTCTCCATGAGCCTTCCTGCTTTCACTGCAGGGGTGTTGTCCCAAAAAGTAGCTGAGGGGTTCCAGGAAGAGGGGATGCTGGGGCATGGGTGGCCTGGCTGTGGCCTGGGGAGGACAACGGGGCCCCACAGGGTGGGCATGGGTGCCTTTCTCTCCTTTTCTGGCCAATCCTGCTGCTAATTTTATCCTTTATCACTGTCACTGCAGGAGTTATCTCCCTCTCCCCCTGCCTCTCCCTTGCCTATTTATAAGCACCGTGGGCCATTGCTGTCAGTGCTGCTGGCTCCAAAGGCTTCTTGGCTTTGCTCTGGCTCCTGCCTGGTCCCAGAGCCCTGACCTGCTCCTCACTCTCAGGTGGAGGAGAGGGTGGCCCTGGAGGGGGTGGCCCTGCCCAGGCTGGGGGGCTCACTTTCCCAGGTGTTCATCCTTGTGCTGCAGCAGCCTCCAGCTCTGGGGTCCTGCCAGTGCTGGGCACGAGGGATGTCACATCAGGCCTGGTTCAGGTGGGGACGTGGCACATGGGATGTGGCACATGGGATGTGGCCAAGGGCTCGAGGAGCTGGGGCCAGCAGGGGCTGGGGGAGAGGAAATGGCTCCTTAGATCATTAATGTCATCTTCGTGGTTATTCCAGGGCAGGCAGGAGGGACTGGGGGAGAGTCCCTGAGCACTGGGGCTGCTCCAGCAGGCTCTGGTGAGGGAAGGAGGCTGCTCTGCTGCTGACAGCAGCACGGGCACGTGGAAGGGAGCAGGGGGAGCTGCACGGGGCTGTCCCAGTGCCCTTTGCTCAGCCTTGTGCTGAGCTGGAACAAACCCTCCCACCCTCCCGAGTCCCTCTTCTCAATCCTGCCCTGGAGCACTGGGGAAGTTTCCCCAAAAAACATGTGTATTTCTTCTGTAGGTGCCAGTGGAGACTCCTGGCAGCTCCAGGCACAGGAAGGGTGTAAAAGCCATGCTCGTTCCATCCTCCAGGGAGCAAAGTGCAAATCCTGTTATGTGTGAACCTTCTCCTTAAAGAAGCCCCCTCTGTACTTTTCCACTGGAAAGCTCGCAGGGATTTGCCTCTCCCTGCCTGCCTTGGCTGGGTGATTTCCTGCTGCCTTAGGAAGCAGTTGTGTGGAGGCAGCCGGGACTGAACTGGGCAGGATTAACCCCAGGGCTGTCAGCAGCGATACTGGGAAAACAGCTTTAATGCTTGGAGAAAGTTGCCAGCTCCCTTATCCCATGGGGAAAGCAAAACACTTGGGCTGTGCTGTGGTTATCTCTTGGCTGTTGGTGTCTGAGAGGAGGAAACGGCCTTTGCGTGCACACACATTTTCCACCGATGCTGGGAAAGGGAAAAACCCATGGAATTTTGGGCTTTGAGTGAAGAAATGCAGGGGGAGTGAACACTGAGAGTTCCTCACACCGGCAGTGTGCCTTTGGTGGCCTCACGGTGCCCAGGACTGTCCGTGTGTGTCAGGTTAACAGGGCTGGCCTGAAAAGCCAATCCTGGATCCACTCAGGTCACTGTGAGTAAGAACTTAATAGGATGCAGATCTGGGAGAGAATCTGCAGCTCGGGAAGCAGTAAAGCTCTGTGCTGCTGCCTTCCTCTGCGGCCAGCAGCATGGCAGAGCTGCCATTTCCTGGGGGGCAGTGGCACCGTGTGTCACCATTTGCTGCTGCCCCATGGCTCTGGCTCTGAGCTCTGGGATGGCTCTTTTGCTATTTTGAGGTGTCATCTCCTGTAGGGTATTTTGGGGGTGCTGACAGGGGCCCCACAGAGCCGTCCCTGGGGTGGGTGCAGAAGGGCAGCGCTCAGGGGCTTCCCTGGTGGCAGGGGTCCCTCTGTGGGTATTTCCTGGCTGGGATGATGTGTCTGCCTGCATCCTGCTGTTGGGGCACTTTCCCATTTGTAATGTCCCTGTTTCCCCTGCTCCTGCTCCCACAGACCTGTCGGCCGCCAAGCGCAAGTTCGCAGATTCCCTCAACGAGTTCAAATTCCGCTGCATCGGCGACGCTGAGACCGACGATGAGATCTGCATAGGTGAGTCCTGGAGCTCCTGGAGCCACAGCCCTGAGCAGGCACGGCACAGAGACACACCAGGACACCAAGGGAATTTGTCTGGGTGCTCCCTGGAAACTGCTTATTCCTCCTGGTTCAACAGCAGCACAGCCTCCCCCAGGGAATCACCTGTTCCTTCTTGGCCTAAATCTGTCCCTGCCAGAGAGGAAAGGGAGAAGATTGTCTGTATCTGAAACCTCCTCAGTTAGCTGGATGTTTTGCACTGGAGAGGAGCATCTGGAGGTGGTTGTGGCTGGATACACTGCAAGGGGCTGTGCTCTGAAGCAGAGGAGCAGCGGTGTCACACAGGATCCTGTGCTTGGGGGAATCAGCAGCGCCGAGCCTGGCAAGGCTCTCTGAGCTAAGCCTGGCTCTGCCACAGAGCTTCTCCTGGCACAGGGCAGTGGCTTCAGCCTCTTCCCTCTCTCCTCCTGCTCCTGCCCCAGCTGAACTTTTAGAGCTTATTGTGCACATCGTCTGGAGCCAGGAGAGCAAAGAAGCTTTAGCCCTGATTTAACTTTGCTTGTTTATTTGTGCCCAGTCTCTCAGCAGAAATAGCTCCAGGTCTCCCTGGTGCCGTGCCCGTGCTGGGGAGCTGCCCCTCGTGTGCTGGGCATGGCTGGAGGCCAGTGCTGTGCTGTGGGGCTGGTTGGTGACTGACTGTTGGGCAGGGCAGGTTTGAGCTGAGGATGTTGCTGTCTGGAGGAGGAAGCCTGGTCCTGGGGATGCTCTGCTGCCAGCTGTAGGCAGCAGGAACCTTTCTAGGGAGAGAGCAAAGATAATAAAAACCCCAGCCTCCCCATCCAAGACACAGACAGACAAAACCCTTCTGTGCAGTTTCTTTCTCTAAAAACTGAATGTTAAATGCTGACTGTGTCCCTTCCAGCCAAGTCTCTGCAGGAGTTTGCCACGGTGCTGCGGAACCTGGAAGACGAGCGGATGCGCATGGTACGGTCCCAGCTGTCCTGGGAGCAGGGGGTGGTGGCACCTGGGGCACCCTGGTGACAGTGACTGCCTGCCCCAGTGCTCCTTCCCTCGCCTGGCATGGAGCTGCAGGGGAAGGCAGAGGAAGGAGAGGGTGGCTTGGCAGGGAAACACTGGGAAAGCCTCAGGAATGGAGTCTTGCTGTTGGAGAGTGGCCGGTGCTGGTGCTGGGGGGGTCACAGGTGGGCAGAGACAGAGGAGTGGAGCCTGGGCATGTCTGGGGGCTGTGGGAGGGTTTCCATGGAAAAGGCTGTGGAGCAGCACAGGTGAGCTGTGCCTGTCTTTGCCCCCAGATCGAGAACGCCAGCGAGGTGCTGATCACGCCGCTGGAGAAGTTCCGCAAGGAGCAGATTGGGGCTGCCAAGGTAACCCAGCCAGTGCCCCCCGGAGCTGGCCAGGAGCTGGCACACTGCAGGATGGGCTCGGGCATGGCAGGAAGCAGTGTGCTGCTCTGGGATGGACACGGGGCCATCCAGCTCCCAGGAAGTGCCTCAGTGTTCCGAGTTCACCCACAGCCAAATAACGTGCCAAGGGCAAAAAACTGCATGCCAGCCAAAGTGAACTTATTTTCCTTACTCCAAGGAAGAATTAGGATTTTCTTGGAGGGGCTCACATTGTCCTGAGTCCCCCAGCCTGCACTCCCCACCCCAAGGCATCGCTGGAGGCTGCACGGGAACTCGGACACTTCTGGCAGGACGGGGAAGCGTCGGTTTGGCTGAGGGCGGCTGTGAGACAGCCTGCCCCCCCCCTCTTTCTTTCCTGCCTTTGTTCTGAAATGAAAACCACTGTCTGTGGCTCCCCTGTTGTTATAACAACCTGCTGCTGCCTGCAAGCAGCTCATGCCAGCGCCCGGGGCTGTGTTCGCATGGCAGCGGTGCCCAGCCCGGCCCCTGCAGCTGGAGACAAAACAGGAGTCCTGCAGAATGCACCTGCTTACTGCAGCTTTGGCATGGATTGTCCCTGGCATCTTGGGCTGGCCAGGCTGGCACAGGGGTGCAAAGGAAAGTGAAGTTGGTGTCCTTAATGCTGCTGCCACAAACAGCCGAGGTGCTGTGTCGTTGTCCCTGACACACAGAGGAGAAGCTCTTGCAAGGGGTGCCAGGGTGGGATGTGGAACTGTGACCATGTTCTGCTTAGAAAGCACTTTCCTTGCTCTGTTGCTTTTGGACCTGGGTCTGGATGTTTTACCAAGCACTGGGCCCCAGGAACAGAGGAGGGGTTCCCTGAAGCCTTGGGTTTTGGCAGCATAAGCTGCTTTCCTGTAGCTGCTGATGCTGGCAGATAAAAGCAGCCTCACCTGCTTCCAGCTGCTGCCCCCAGGTCCTGTCTCATGGTGGCTCCCACCTGGGACTGCCATCCTGCCCAGTGCCACAGGGACGCTGTCACAGCTGCTCTGGGACCATTGTGTTCAGTGTCATACTTTTTGTCCTGTTTTGTAGGATGCCAAAAAGAAATATGACAAGGAGACTGAGAAATACTGTGGTGTCCTAGAAAAGCACTTGAACTTGTCTTCCAAGAAGAAAGAATCCCAGCTTCAGGAGGTCAGAGCAGCCTCTGAGTTTCCATGTCTGGCTGTGACTGGGGAGAGCTTTTTGAATGTCTCACACAGTGTATAACAATGGTTCTCCTGGCTGTAAACTCATTATTTCCCTCATTCTGGCTGCGGGTGCTGGGTTTTCCCCTTTTCCTGTAATGAAGGGATATGGAGCTTTCTTGGTGAGTAAATCAGAGAGATCCCAAAATGGATAGCAATCAAAAAGGAGAGAGGGTTTATAATTAAAGAGTGTAACAGAAAGGAACTGGTTCTGCTGCAGCTTCCCATGTGCCAGCACAAATCATGGATGTCTGGTCTCCTTCTCTGCAAGTGGCTGCTCTGCTTTGTGCTCCAGGGAAGGAGGGAGCAGGCTTAGTGCCTTAAACTCTTTAAGCACCATCAGTGATTCAGGATGTGGTTAGCTGTGGTGACAAGTGCTCCTACTGGATGAGTATGCTGAGTTTTCAATCACTTCTTTTAAGTCTGGAATTCCTTGTGCTGGCCCAGAGCTGGGTTGGTCCTGCAGGATGTATGTCCTTGCCCTTGGGCATGGTGCTGGTGTGCTGCTGATCCCTTACTGGGAGCACTGGTGGGCATGGGGCTCCTGTACCCAGGTGGTGGGACTGTGCCCAGCAGAGCTGGGGACTTTAGAGCAGAAATACCTGGGGCACAGGTGATCATCTCCCAGCAAATCAGGGCTGAGGAGGGCTCAGAATCTGGGCAGCTGTGCCTGCAAGCCAGCCTCGTCCTTGAGGTTTGTAAATAACTTCCCATGTGGAAGCACCCACATGGGAATGGTGTCCCAGGGAATGGTGGCTTTGAAATGACCCTCAGAGCCTTGGTTTAGTTTGTGTTTGAGATACTGATACGGGGCATGGCAGTGGAAGGAATTCTGGCTGGGGAGGGAAGGATCCACTCGTGGCTGTCAGAGCTGTGATCCTGTGCCCTGGACAGAGCACGGCCCTGTGGGGCTGCCTGGAGGTGCCATAGGGGCTGCAGGTGGGATGCAGTGTGGGATGCAGTGTGAGATGCAGTGTAGGATTCAGTTTGGGATTCAGTTCGGGATTCAGTTGGGGATGTGTTTGGGATTCAGCTGGGAATGTGTGCGGGATTCTGTTTGGGATTCTGTTCAGGATTTAGTTTGGGATGTGTGCGGGATCAGTGTGGGATTCAGTTGGGGATGTGTTTGGGATGCAGCACAGGATTCAGTTGGAGATTCAGTTGGGTATGTGTGTGGGATCAGTGTGGGATTCAGTTTGGGATGCAGTTTGGGATTCAGCTGGAATGTGTGTGGGATTCTCTTTGGGATTCTGTTCAGGATTTAGTTTGGGATGTGTGCGGGATGTGTGTGGGATTCAGTTTGGGATGTGTGCAGGATGCAGTTTGGGATGCAGTTTGGGATGCAGGTTGTGATGCAGTTCGGGATGCAGTTCGGGATTCATCTGGGGATGTATGCAGGATCAGTTTGGGATGCAGTTCGGGATGCAGTTCGGGATGCAGTTCGGGATTCATCTGGGGATGTGTGCAGGATCAGTTTGGGATGCAGTTCGGGATGCAGGTTGTGATGCAGTTCGGGATGCAGTTTGGGATTCAGCTGGGGATGTGTTTGGGATTCAGTTTGGGATTCAGTTTGGGATGCAGTTCGGGATGCAGTTCGGGATGCAGTTCAGGATTCAGTCGGGATGCGTGCGGGATGCGTGCGGGATGCCGGCGCTGTGCAGGTGCGGTGGAGCAGGCTGCCTGCTGGTGCCATCTGGTGGCATCTCCCACCCGGGCCGTGGCTCGGAAGGCAGGAGGAGCCCGCTGGAGCAGCTCCCAGGTCAGGGGCTGGTTCCTGTTCCCCCGTGCCACTGGGAAGTGTACGTGGTTTGTGTGGCTCAGACTCCCCCGAGGGAGGGGTTACCTTAGAAAGAGGATTTAGTGAGGAGTTGTGAAAGGTGGATGTGGAATCCCTGGTGAGGGGGAGTGCTTTCCAGAAAAGGGAGAGTTGCCTTTTCTTGTCAAGTTCACAGATTTCCATTTTTCTTGCCTCTACTGCATGTTTTCTACCCAGCTGTTGGGGAGGTGAGAACATGAGTCACCACACCCGTTTTCCTCAGCTGAAGGAAGAGCTTGCTCATGTGGATCAGGTTTATGTTTATTGCTGTGCCATTTGTCCAGCTGGGACTGGGGGCTGGAGCTGGGTTTGCTGTGCTTGGGGGTGCTCCCATCAGAGCCAGGTGTGCTCTGGTTGTTCCTGAGCTCTGTTTCCTCTCCCACCCCTCTGCAGGCAGACAGCCAGGTGGACCTGGTTCGGCAGCACTTCTACGAGGTCTCCCTGGAATATGTCTTCAAGGTGCAGGAGGTCCAGGAGAGGAAGATGTTTGAGTTTGTGGAACCTGTAAGTGAGCTCTCAGTCCGGCTCAGCCTGCACCAAACTGGGGGGGTGTGGTGAAACGGGGTCATGGGGAGCCCTGGCAGTGCAGGGCCAGCCTCACCCCACAGCCCCTCTCACAGAGGGCCCACCAGAGAGCCCCTCCACCCTGGGGGGCTGCAGGGCCCCCTCCCCTCAGCACTGGTGCCTCTAAGTCTCCACTGACCATCTCCACTTGCTTTTTCCCAATGCAGCTGCTGGCCTTTCTGCAGGGTCTGTTCACATTCTACCACCATGGCTACGAGCTTGCAAAGGACTTCAGTGACTTCAAGACAGAGCTGACAATCAGCATCCAGAATGTGAGTGTGCCCAGGGTGTCCCTGTGCCCGGGCTGTCCCTGTTCCTGGGCTGTCACCATGCCCAGGGTGTCCCTGTGCCCATCGCTGTCAGTGTCTCCAGAGCCACCTCACCTTCTGGTGTATTTTAATCACAGAATCCCAGAGTGGTTCGGGTTGGAAGGGACCTAAAAGTCACCTCATTCCCATTCCCTGCTATGGCAGGGACACCTTCCACTGTCCCAGGCTTCAAGCCCCAGTGTCCAACCTGGCCTTGGGCACTGCCAGGGATCCAGGGGCAGCCACAGCTGCTCTGGGCACCTGTGCCAGGGCCTGCCCATCCTCACAGGGAAGAATTTTTTCCTAATATCCCATCCAAATCTCTCCTCTTTTAGTTTAAATCCATTTCCCTTGTCCTATCACTATCAACCCATGTCAAAAATCACTCTCCCTCTTTTTGTAATCCCCCTTAAAGTTCTGGAAGGCCTTGCCAATTCTTGTAATATTTTTGCTTTAGCTTAAATCCAGGCCCAGGAAGCAAACCTGCCCTGTGGCTGCCCCTGGGCTCCCCAGCCCCATTTCCCACAGGGCTGTAGGGACCCAGCCCCACCCCATGTGCTGCAGAGCCGGGCACAGGTCCCTGCACTGGAGAAGACATTCCTGTTTTCATTTGCAGACAAGAAACCGCTTTGAAGGAACGAGGTCAGAGGTTGAAGCTTTGATGAAGAAGATGAAGGAGAATCCCCACGAGCACAAAAACATCAGCCCTTACACGATGGAGGGCTATCTCTACGTGCAGGAGAAGCGTAGGTGTCGGGCTGGGGAGCGTGGGGGTGGCAGCCTGGGGAAGGGGTTTGCCAGGACAGGGGCACAAAGGCTGACTCAGCAGATTCAGATTCAGTCAGAGTCCCTGGAAGGCAGGGATTGGCCCAGTGAGGGCCAATTCCAGTGGGAATGTGGCAGCCAGGGAGAATCCCTGCCGGTGCCTCAGAGGAGTCTGTTAGGTACAGCAGCCTGGCATGTGAAATGATGGTTAAACATAGCGGGTTCTAATGGGAGAGCTGAAACTGTTCTGGGCATGAAGCCTGTGTTTGCTCTGCAGGTCACTTTGGGACCTCCTGGGTGAAGCATTACTGCACCTACCAGAGGGAATCGAAGCGCATCACGATGGTGCCCTTTGACCAGAAGTCAGGAGGAAAAGGGGTGAGTGAGTTCTGGGAGCAGGGGGAAAAGGGGTGAGTGAGTTCTGGGAGCAGGGGGAAAAGGGGTGAGTGCTGGCTGGGAGCAGGAGGAAAAGGGGTGAGTGCTGGCTGGGAGCAGGGGAAAAGGGGTGAGTGCTGGCTGGGAGCAGAACTGGGTCCTGCCAGGGAGCACATGGCACTGCTGGCTGCAGGCTCTCTTGGGGCTCAAACTGTGTCACCTTTTTGGCAAGGTGACACAAAGGCAGTGAAGTGGGTCACATTGATTCCAGGCTGAGTGGCTGCCACACGGGGAATGAACTTAGCACCTGGTTTGAGAAACAAAAGACAGGAACCCCCCAGAGCCCACAGATCTTTGCTAGCCACGTGCACCCACCACGCTCCAGCTCCATGGGTTCTCCTGCTCCCCAGTCCCTCATTCCTGCTCCAAGGCACAGACAAGAGAACCTGTCCATTATTTTGCTCCTTCTCCAATGCCTGTGACTTGTTCAAGGCCAGGTTGGATGGGGCTTGGAGCAGCCTGGTTGAGTGGAAGTGTCCTTGCCCATGGCAGAGAGAGGAACAAGATGAGCTCTAAGTGCCCTTTCCACCCCAACCATTCAGTGAGTCTCTGATGATGCTGTGACTTGGCCAATGAAGTTGTTTTGTTTTGGACAGAGCCACAGCAGAGCCTGGAGCTCCCCTTGGCCCCGAGGGGGTGTGAAGAGCAGGGGGAGCAGTGGGTGTGGGGTGTGGGGAGCCAGCACAGGCTGTGTCCCAGTGCTCCCAGGGCTGTATCCAGGGCTGGCTTTGCTGCTCTGTACAGCAGGAACAATAGACCCATCCACAGCGTTCCCAGCTGGGACAGTTTGCAAACACAATCCCCTTGCTGGGGAGTGCCTGGGGCAGCTGGACAGGCTCCCACACTGCTTCCTGCTGGCATGAGGAGCCAGCTGTGGGCAGGGAAGCTTCTAAAATTAATTTCCTCTTGCCTTGGAGCATCTTCATTATGGCTCAGCATTAACATATCCCAGCCCTGTAATCATCAGTGGCTGTACTGTGTTTTGTCTGGTCCCTTCCCATTTCAGGGCTCTCCCAGCACCCTGGGCTGTGGGAGCTGCTGGCAGCAGCCTGAGCCCCTCTCCAGGGCCAGGCTGGAGCCCCTCTCCAGGGCCAGGCTGCAGCCCCTCTCCAGGGCTGTGCTGGCACTTGTGGCTTGCACCACCCTGGCAAGAAATGCTGCCTGTGCTGGGGCAGCTCTGGCTCCAGGGTCTGTCAGTGGTGACCACCATGGACATCTGGGCATGGAGCAGCCCAGGGCCTTGGGGCTGCACTGCTGGGAATTCTGGGGTCTGCCTGGAGCAGGTGCTGAGGTGCTGCATGAGGAGACCCATCACTCCTGGGTCACAGGGGGTGCCAGCCCCTCGTGACCTTGGGCTGTGGCCAGAGCTGGGTATTGGTGGGTTTGGAGCAGGGGCATTCCCTGAATTCTGGACAGGGAGCTGGGCAGAGTGGGAGCAGCCTTGTGCTGGCAGTGCCAGGCTGGGGGGCACCAGGGGCACTGCCAGGCCTGGGGAGAAGCCCTCAGGAGCTCTTCTGTCTTCCTGGGTCCGTGCTGGGTCCCTTGTCTGGGACTGGAGAGTTCTTGGTGGGTTAGAAACCATGGAAGCACAGAGAACTGCCAGGTTAGGGCTGGTTTTGGGGCAGGTTCAGAGTCCCAGCAGAAGAGCATCTACAGCAGTGCCTGCAACATGGGCAACCAGCAGGAGGGGCTGGGGCCACCGTGCAGCAGGAAAACTGCTGCCATCGTGGGGGCACGGTGGGATGGGGAGGACTGAGTGTCAGGGAGTGTTCTGGCTGCCAGGAGCTGAATGGTGCTGGCAGTGGGGAGGAGTTTATGGGTAAGAACCAGGGAGTCACCCTCCCTGGGGGGTTTTAATAGATGTGTAGTTGTGGCTCGTGAGGACATGGATCAGTGGTGGGCTTGGCTGTTCTGGGCAACTTTCAGACTCTGTGATCATTGAGGTCTTTTCCAATCTAAGTGATTCTAAATATGTTTCCTGGAAAAATGGTGATGTCAGGGAACAGGGTGGTCAGCCAAGGTGTCATCAGGAAGAGCACAGAGAGCCCAGAAAAGTGTCTGTCTCCAGGAACTCCTTCAGAATTCATTTTCTCTTAAGTCATCAGTGGAATTTCACAGTTGCAGAGGTGTCTGTGCTGGCAGGGGCTGAGGCAGGATTCCCTCCAGCAGAGGACAGCAGTGCTCACAGATCCTGCTGGATCGCTGCTCAGCCCTCTGGAAATCCAGTACAGCTTGGATGCAGAGAGGCATTCTCTGGGTGGGAGAATGGTTTTGTCATTGCTTTGTTACATAATAAACATTTTAAGACGTGTTTGCTCCTGTTAGGAGTCCTCGTGTGCACAATGCTGCCAAAAATGCAGCGTGGAGTGCAAACTGCCAGCAGGTCTAGGGAGTGTTGTTCAGCAATGGAAAATAAAGCTGATTTTGCCCAAAAGCTGTGGTCCAGCAGTACCTGCCCACATGAAGAATGGGTTGTGTGGTGCTTTATGCACAGATTGAATTGTGGGCATCCTGAAGGGAAGGCTCCTCATGAAAAGTTTTGGACTAAATAAGGGTAAAAAAGACAATTCCTCCTGTTAGGGATAAAAACAGATGTTTTTAGCAGGTGATGTTGCCAGATCCCCCCAGGTTTGAACCTGCTCATTGACAGCCATGCGTGCTGGGGACAGGCCTGTGGCTGTTGGTTGTTCTCAGCCTCAGCTGTGATTTTGTCTCTTCTCAGGGGGAGGATGAAGCTGTCACCCTGAAATCCTGTACACGGCGGAAAACAGACACCATTGAGAAGAGGTTCTGCTTTGATGTGGAGGCTGTGGATCGGTGAGTGCTGCCAGGAAGCTCCTGGGGCTGTGCTGGCCGTGTGGAGGGAAGGGCTGTGCTCCTGCTCTTGGCTGTGGGACAGTTCCTGTGCAGTTCCCGTGTTTCTCTCTGTTAGTCACACCCTCTGTGAGTGGAAAGCATTAGTCCATGGAATCACACCTTTTCCAGGCAGGTGCTCTCCGTGTATTGAGTCAGTGCTTTGGTTTACAAGTCTCTGTGACTCAGGTCTCTCTGACTTTAAGGGTGTTTTGGCACTTCTGCAGCCTCTGGCCACACAAGGTGAGCAGTTGCCAGCCTGCAAAAGGTGCTCTGTGGCTGTTCTGGCAGGGATGTGCTGCCTCTTCCCAGCACTGGGTATGTGCTGGAATAGTGTCAGCTTTGCTGCTGGACTGGCTGTTGCTGGTTCATCATGGATGGGTGATAATGGACTCTGGCTCGTGCCTCCAGGCACTTTCACTCCTTTTTCCTGAAGAAGGAAAACCCTTCTGCTGACTTATCGCGCAGCAGCTGGAGCAGAGGTATGTGTGGATTCAATCTCTGGCGCCCAGAAGTGAGAGCTGTTACCATATCAGCTAGCATCATGCATGGCTTACACATATAAACAGGAAAGCCAGGCTGGTGTTGCTATTCCAAGAGGAATTAGTCACTGCTTGGGTCTCCCTCACTGCAGAAGTTCACATGGTTCACAGAAGCCTGCTCCAAAGGCACTCAGTGTGTTCTCCCAGTTGTGTGCCTGTCCAGCTGTCCTCCCATCTGCAGGAATTCCCTGGAGGTCTCAGAAAAACCCGAGTTCATTAAAATGTGGGTGCTGAATAATGCTGGAATAACCCCTGGTGCCTCTCCCTGTCCAGCCTGTGCTTGGGCAGCCCGTGGCAGGGAGGGGTTGGGGTGATGGAGCTCTGCCTGTGTTGGCTGAGGGAGGAGATAACCTGGGGCTGCCTCCCACTCTCTGGAGCTGTGCTTTTCTCCAGAAAGCTGCAATATTTCTGCTGACACAGGATTTTTTTGATTTTTTGCTGTGCCCTGAGGATATTTTTTTTTAATGTGAAAATCAAACTAAAAAGTGGGAGAGGGAGAATGGAGCTACAATAATTTTTGTTCAGCGTGTTCAGAGGCAGCTGAAGCTTCTCTTGATGTTTGGAGCCTGCCAGGCATGGGATCAGGAGCTGCTCCAGAAATCTGCGTGCTCCATGTAATTCATGGCAGTGGAGTAGCACAGGAAGGGGAAACCTGAGGAATTTCTCCTTTCATGTACACATTTCTGCTGCAGGGATTTGCCTGAGAGAGCAGGAGAGCAGGACACACCTGAAGGAAAAGGTTGTTTTTTCCCAATATACAGGCAGCTCTGCATTCTCTTGGTATCAGAATTTGTCATTAGATGTCTAAAATATTGGATATTCCCAAGATAAACTTAAGAGGAAGAGGAAACAACAAGTTTTGCCACGGCTGAAGGAGGCTGTGGTGTGCCCAGCCTGTCTCCCTGTTCCTGGGGTAGGTCTGGGCACCCCCAGGTCCCGCTGTAGCTGGAGATCACCTCCACCTTGCCAGCTCCGGGGCTTGGGCTGTCCTACAGCTCTCAGACAGCCTGGAGGTGGCAGCCTCGGCCGTGCTTCAGACACTGCACACAAACAGGGCTTTTGTCAGCCTTGCATTTTGGGAGCTCAGCAGTAACACCCTAAATAGCACCAGCCAAGAGCTGTTCCTTCCTAGGTGGGAAAAAAAAGTGCGTTTTTCTCCTGTAAAGATGATTCAGCACAACCGAGCTGAAAATCTGGAGCCTGATCTGTTATTACAGCATTGCTTCCTTGTCTCAGAATCCCAGAATAGTTTCTGTTGGACCTTAAAACTCATCTCATTCCACCCCCTGCCATGGGCAGGGACACCTTCCACTAGACCAGGTTGCTCCAGCCCCCATCCAGCCTGGCCTTGGCATTTACAAATAGCTCCATGTAGCAAGTTAGAAGTATTGTACTGTGTTGTTACAGCAAAATTAACCCCAGAATGGTGTTCTAGGGTCTGGCTGAAATACATCCCCAGCGTGATGGATACTGTGTTTTACTGCTAATGCTCTTTTTTCATTAACTAAACTCCTTTGTAGTCTCTGCACATTAAGTCAGGTTTGTAAACAAGGTGAACAGGGATGTCAGCCAGTGTCTTACAAAATGAGCCTGGGGAGGAGGAGTATCTCATTTGACTGATGACAAAGGCTTTGTCATTTAGGATGATGTAGGTCATTGCTCTGGGCCAGAAGCAAACTGCTTCTAAGTGCCAGCTGGCTTTTAGGGGAGCAGGAGCTTTTCAAATGCAGGGTTTGGTGTGTCAGGAGAGCAGTGAACTCTGCAGGTACCACCATTGCCCTAGACTCTGCCTGGGTGCCCCCAGGGTGACTGGCACCACACCTGGACACAGTGGAACTCTAGAGCCAAAATCCAAGAGGCACTGAGGTGGGAAAAGACCCCCAACACCATCCAGTCCCAGCTGTGCCTGATCCCCACCTTGTCCCCAGCCCAGAGCACCGAGTGCCACCTCCAGCCCTTCCTTGGACACCTCCAGGGATGGGCACTCCAGACGTCCCTGGGCAGCCCCTGCAATGCCCAACCACCCTTCCCATGCAGGAATTCTTCCTGAAACAATTGGCGCAGGGGCTGGGTGCTTGGCGTGGGGCTGGGAGGGCTGCCAGGCACCTGCCACTGCTGCCCTGAGCAGATGGTTTTCCCCAGGAGGGCTGTTGGCCTTGCTCTGGGAGTGCACTTGGAGATGCAGGGCTGTGACAGTGGCAGGACCTGTCCCCTGCTCGCTGTGCCAGGTGACCCCAGCCCTGCTGTCCCCGCGCCCGCAGCGCCTCAGTGCAGTGCAGCCTGTCCCCGTTCTCTGCCGGTGTCACCTTTCCAGCGACCTTTAAAACAAAGCCTGGGGGTTGTCTCAGGGGGTGAGGGATGGGTTGTCACAGTGAGGGATGAGGCTCCTTCCCCTGGTGGCCACGGTGGCCCTGACCCCTGCGGAAGGTGCCGGTGGCTGTTCTGCTGGTGCTCCGAGCTCCGCGTGGGCGCCCAGACCTTGTGAGCTCAGGGTCAGTCTCCCCCTTAATTCCATCTTTGCTCACCAGCTTTTTGGGGCCGCATCTGGCTGCTGGTGCCTGGCCCATGGCTGTGGGGTCCTGTGAGGGCTGCACTGCTCTGCTCAGGACTGGGAACATCTCTGTGCACTCAGCCCAGCTCAGCCCCTGTTATTAATGCACTCTTGTGTGTTTTCATCAGCAGTTTAGATTGTCTCGCTGTGATAACCTGCTACAGCAGTTGGAAGTTCTTATCTGTTTCTATTGCTTTCCTTATTTGTTTGTTTTCCTGGAAGAAGGAAAAGCTATTGCAGTTTCTCATTTTCTCAGTGTGCTTAGTCACAGCTCCTTAAGGCCAGGCCATTTGTCACAAAAGCTGAGATATTGAGAAAACTCAAATTTCCTGTGTGGTCTCGTATGGAAAAATCTTCCATTTTTAGATTGTAGCATATTGAAAATATTCTTTTTTATTAAGTGTTTGCCATGTTCTGCTCTGGTCTCACCCTCCTACACTTACTCCATTTAGAAATGGATTTCTTCTGATCCCAAAATGTCCCTTCCGCTCCTTGTGTCCCAGAAAAAGGCAGAGGGGTTTGGTGGAAAATGTGGAATGCAGGTGGAAATGTGGGATGCAGCACCTAGGAGTGAATCAGCAGGTCCTTGATCTCGTTTGCCACAACAGCTCAGGTTCCAGGAGGGTGTCCTGCTGTCTGTGACACAGCTGGGGCTGGCTGGGGTGGGCTGGCTCCACGTGGGTACAGGTACACGCTGTGCTGGGAGGAGGTGGGAGCTGCCCCACAGCAGAATCTGTATTTACTGTATGTTCTCTTTATAAATAATTATCTGCATAAGTGACCCCCAGTATTTGGGGTAATTTGTCGGGTGAGGGGACAAGGACAGATCCCTTTTGGGAAGGGACATCCGAGCAGGGTTTTGCCATGGCTGTGGGAGGGGCTGCTCCTGAGGAGGCTGGCTGAGGATGGAGCTGTGTGCAGGCAGTGTTTCCAGCAGGGCTGGTGCTGGCAGGAGGCTGATCCTGTGCCAGCCACCCGACCTGGCTGTGAGCACATGGAGCCCCGTGGGCATCGGCCACATCCATAATGAATGAGGTATAATGTGTGGGTGCATTTTAAATTTATCACAGCCAGGAAGATGGTTCTGCTCAGGAAAGTGATGCAATGGGTGTCCTGGCAAATAAACACTGGGGGAGGAAATGCAGGGCTATTTGCAATGGAAATTGGGTTTGATTCAGTTTCACAGCCCCTCCCCTCATGCTGTTAAAGAAGTTTGACTTTGAAGTGAAGCCCGAGGAGTTGTTATCTGCTCAGAGGCAGAACAAACATTTTGCTGTTATCACCTCTTTGCCCTGTGCTGAGGGAAGCTGGCACTCCAGATACCAGCACTGCCATTCTGGGACCCGGAGTCCAGTGCCCAACATACCATGAATGGAGGGTTTAAATTTCTCTGCTCTATTTCTCTGGCTAAAGAGCCAGAAATCCCAGAATTTCCTTTCCTGTGTGTCTCTAGCTGAGCTAGAGCCCCTCCAGGGCTTTCTGCCTGAGGTGTCTGTGCCTTCAGCAGCAGCTTGGCTTAAAGTCAGACCTAAGCCCTGGCTAAAGTGGCCACTGCAGCTCCCCAGGTACCAGGGACTGCTCTTGGGTCACTTTGTACCTGCACAACAAGGAGCTTTGTGCAGTGTTTTGAACATATTTGCTGTTGGATGTGGAGCATTTTCCCTCTCAGATGGGGTGATGGTTAAGTGGTTTCCTCTTCCCTCTGAAGTGAGTAAACTTCCAAACCACTAAGCTGGTGAGTATTGACTGACTCACCAATGGGATTAGCAGAGATCAAGCACATTATGTCTGGTTTTTGGACCTGGGCACAGCTTCCACTGGTGGGACAGTGCTGAGCTGCCGTGTGCCTGCTGAAAGCTGGGCTGGTTGGATGGGGAGTGGAGTTAGGGAGAAGGGTTAATGCTCGGTTCCTGGCCTGTGCGTGCCACAGAGCAGCAGCAGAGGGGCCAAGCCCACCTCTTGAGAGCCCCTGTTAAAGTTTAATTTTCTTACAGGCTCTTATCAAGGACCAAAGGGCATCTGCAGAGTGTTGGTGCAGCTCACGTTTTCCGGCTGAATCACCCTTGGGAAGTTCAAGTTAGAAATCACCCCTCTCCCCAGGCTTTATCAGGTTTTTGGGGTTGAGTACCGAGCAGAGCCTACGTGCTCAGTGGAACACTCTGCAGGTGGCTGGCAGTTCCCGAGGTTTAATCCCCCTTTCCCTTCCCTTCCCTCCCTCCCCGTGCCCCGCAGCGCTCAGAGCAGTTCCTGGCTCCTGTGCCCTTCCAGAGCCCCTGCTCTGCTGGGCTGGGAAGAGCAGCATCAGAGGCTGTGTGCTGTCACAGCTCAGTGTTTGAAACCCCACGGGCAGAGAGCTCAGCAGCCGCCCTGTTGCGTGTCCCCGTTGCCAGGGAATCTGCTCGCCGTGCTCCAGCGGGGATGCTCGGCTGCTGTGTCTGGGAACAGCCGGGGAGGGAGCGGCAGCGCCAGAGCAGACACACGGACAGGTCTCACTGTCTGTCTGCCTGAGCCCAGCAGCAGCGCTGGGGGGGATGTGGCCACCCCCTGGAGCTGCAGAGCCAGCCCAAAGGCACAAGGCTGGGGAGGAGCAGGCTTAGCCAGCTCTGTGTGTCGGGGTCCAGGCTGCAGGATGGGCTGGGATGTGGAGGTGGAAATCCTGGCAGCTCACAGCCACGCACGGCGCAGTGAGATGGCAGCCCCTGGTGGGGGACCACAGCTCCCACCCTCCGTGTCCCCACACCCCACACCTGAGGCTGTGCAAACACTCTGTCATGTCAAATCCATCCTCAGCCTGCTGGTCACGCTTACCAGAGCAGGTAAAGGAGGTTTGACTCCTTGCATGGAAAGGGTGGTCCAGGAGTGGACGCAGCTCCACTGAGGAGCGTGGAGGTGGCGTTGGCCTTCAGGCAAGGGCAGTGCCACTGCTGTCCCCTGCTCCTGTGCTGTGTGTGCAGCACCCAAGCCTGTCCTTTCCCCTTCTCATTACAGTAAATGAGCAGTCCCAGGGCTGTTTGTTGGAGGCTGGATTGACAGGGCAGCTCTGGTGTGGTGTGTGTGACAGTGCTGGGGGCAGGAGCGGCACCCTGGGCACCTTGGGACTCCTGCATTGTTCCCCCTGTGAGGCTGCTGGACGGGGACAAGGACCAGCATTGTGCCACTGCCACTGCCGTGTCTTACAGCAGGGTATGGACAGGGCCAGGGGACTGGCACAGCCATGAGGGCATGGACATCTTGGGGATGAAATGCTTTGCACAGCAGAAGGTGTCCTCCGTGAGCCTGGTGCTTGGGGTGCTGGTGAGACACGGGGGGCTGGGATGTGTGGGGCTCCTGCTTGCTTGGTTACCTTCCTTGCTTGCCTTCCTTGCCTTCTCCTGCCGTTGCATGGACGTGCTTTACCCAGTGCAGGTGAGCTGGCTGGCCAGGGGCCAGAGGAGGAATTTGGCACCCAGCTCTTGCACAAAACCACTGCCAAGGTGTGTTGATTGTTGGAGATGTCCTCTGCTCCTTGCTGATCCTGGTCAGGACCTGCAGGGATGTCCATGGCTTATGTCCTCCTTGTGCTGGGGCTTGCCTGGGAAGGAGCTTGTCCTCCTTCCCTCTTCCCCTCATGAAAAATTCATCTTTGCCACCTTTGCTTCCCGTCCCGCAGTTCATTGACAGCATTCCCTTTCTCCCGGCAGGCCCGGCGTCATCACCATGCAGGCGCTCTCGGAGGAGGACCGGCGGCTGTGGATGGAGGCCATGGACGGCCGGGAGCCGGTGAGCAGGAGTTTTGGGCAGAAGGCAGAGGAAATCCAGGCGAGCTCTCGGGAGCCCGGGCTCGCTGCGGAGCCGCTGCCACGCAGCGCCTGCCAGCCCTCGAGGGAGCTGTATTATCCGTGGGGCAGCTTCTGTCTCCTGCCAAGAGAATCCTTTAATCCCTTGGTTAAATATTTGAGGTAATACTGTATCTCCCGTGCTTGGATTGCTTGGAGGTGCGGTGGAGAGGAGGAGGGTAGGCTTGGCCAGCACAAACATGCTGCTCTGCCGTGCTGAAAGGAAAACATGGCAAAAAGAGCAGTGGAAGAAAATACGTTGTAGATTTCCAGGGCTTTTGGAGTCCTGCGGCTCCTTGGCAGCTGTTTCTGGGTCTGGTAGAGGATTGTAGGTTTCGTGTGAGCAGAGGAGTGTGGCCCCTCTTCCCCGTGTTTGCTCCTGCTGTGCCAAAGGCTTCCTCACCTCTGGAAGGGATTCTGGAGGTTTGCAGAAAACTCATTGTTGTTCATTTTTATTTTGGAATGCATTTGCAAACCTCACTGCCAGCTTGAAGAGCGTTGGCTGGTTGTGAGCGGGTCCCTCGGGCGGTGCTGGGGTCACGGCTTGGTGACTCTGTGTGGTGACTCTCCTGTGGCATTTAGGGCACTGCTGAGCAGCCAAGACAGTCTGTGGCCTCTGTGCCTGCTCATGGCCAACAGCATTTTGGGATATGAAAAGAAGCTGCGTGGAGAGCCAGAGCAGCCTGGGCTGTTCTGTGACAGCCCTTGTGGCTTTGGAGTGGGTGTCTGCACGCTGGGCTCGAGCCAGGCTCTGGCAGTCAGAGCAGAGCCCATGCAGAGAGCAGGGTGTCCCACCCAGCACAGCCTGCTCCCACAGACCCCGCCAGATCCATGGAAAGGTTCTTGTTTGTCAGGAGAAATGTTCATTGGAGCATTCAGGTGAGGCATGGACACACGAGGCTGTTCTGTGAGTGCTGAACTTGGTCAAGCACTCGCTTTTGGAACGTGCAGCAGTTGGGAGATCGGGAGGCTGCGTGTGGGAGGTGCTGCCCTGCATTTCAGGGAAAGGATTGTGTGGTGGATTGCAGCCAGGTCCCAGCCTGGAGTCGTAGATCCATCAGGTAATTCAGGTAGGACGGGAGCTCAGGAGGTTTCTGGTCCAGCCTCCTGCTCAGAGCAGGTTGCTCGGGGTGTTACCGGTCGGGAGCTGAGATCATACGAGGGAGGAGAGGGCACAGCCTGCCTGGGCTCCAGCCCAGCTGCTTCCCTGGCCTCCTGACCCCAAGGCTGAACCTCTCTTGTTTCAATTTACACCCACACAGAGAAGCTGTGGTTGGCCCATCCCTGATCCAGGTCCACGCTGGACAGGGCAGTGGGTAGGACTGGATGAGATTTAAGGGCCCTTCCAATTTAAACCATTCCATGATTCTCTGGTTCTGTGACAGCCTCTGCTCCCTTCTTCTGTCACCTGTTGGAAAGGGGCCCTTGTTTGGGAGAACCAGCCTGCTCCTCCACCCTTGGCTCTTGACCCCTGGGGCAGCTATAGTGGCACAACCCTCTCCAGCTCCAGGTGCCATCTGTCTTGATCCCTCCTAAAGAAAACCCTGCCTTGATTCTGGTGGCACCATTTCTTCAGAAACAAAATAGGCACTGTTGCTCCTAATCTGAATGGAGTCTTGTGCTGCTTCAACCTGCTCACCTGCCTCCCACTGCCCACCTCTGCTGGGAGCTGCTGTGGCAGGGATGGCAAAGCCAGTCAGCTGCCATGGGAGCTGCAGGAAAGCGGTCACCCAGCTGTGTGTGAGCTGCTGATGGTACCAGGGTGCAGCACAGGAGCACAGCCAGTCTGCAGAGGTGCACACACAGGTCTTGGGTGCTCGCAAAGAGCTGTGCATGCCAAAGGTTCTGTGGAGCAACCACGACAGGACTGCCTGGATTATCCTGTTCCAGGATCTGGTCACGAGAACTCCTTCCAAACCACACAGGTGGTGGTGCCTGCGTGCTGCTGTTCTCCCCTGTCGTGCCCATCAGCTGAGGTGAGGGCAGCTGGCTCATCCAGCACGTCAGGGGCTGTGGCTGTGCATTAATGCCATACCTTGTGGCACTTAATTGCTAATGGCTTACACTGCCCTTCCAGGTGTGGAGTGGGAGCGATGGGAATGCCGCCTGCATGGAAAGGGATCCAAGAGACACTTTGCTGCTGAAGGTGGAGGGTGTTGACACATGAGGCAGCTGCTTGTCCTCAGCTATCCTCCTCCATCCATCAAAAATGCAGCTGTGGGCTGTTCTGTTTGGGTTCTTGTCTTACAACACCAGGGTGCAGCATGTTATTTTCATGTTACCTATTCCACAGGGATTTCCTTGAGCAAGAGATGAGGATTTAACCTTTGGACTCATAGAAATATCCATTCTATGCTTTGACTGTATTTCTGTAACCAAAGAACCCTACTGGAAAGAATGTCTGGTTTTCCTTTGATTTGACTGCAGAGTGTGGGGAAGGATTGGCACGGTGGGGATGGTAATTCCATGAGCAAATTCAGGCTGTGGAGAGATTAGCGCGGACTGGAGTTTGTTTCTTAATTATAATGAAAAAAGTAAACCCAAATGTCAAATTACATCTTAGTGAGATTTAAGCATAGAATGTGGCTGCATTAGCCAAGACATTTGTCACAACTTGAGAAGATTTACGCTGTGTCTCACAGTCAGCAGCCTCCAGACAGCCCTCATCACGCCGTTAACTCTTACCACTTGTTATTCATTTGGATAAAGCCCCCGTGTTGACTTTGGGTTTTCTTCCATGTTGCAGAGGCTGGAAACAGGAGAAACTGCTAACTCCATGACGGAGCAGTGGTGTTTGGTTTTGTTAAGATACTCAGGATCAGTTTCTTATGGATTTTCTCCTGTGCTGATGCAGTTTGCAAATGTATGTGGTGGAGGCCAGAGCGATTCTGAAACTTCCTTGGAACCTGAGTCAGGAATAAAAACTGTGTTGGCTGATGGTGGCTGTGCTGGGCTGCGGGTTTAGGAGAGGCACAAATTAGGCTGTGTCTTGTGGCAAAGAGCAAGGTAAGCATTTAGGTGAGGTTGTGGTGAATGAGTGTGGAGGAGGAGGAGGAGGCTCAGGGGAACCTTGTGGCTCTGCACAGTGCCCTGCCAGGAGGGGACAGGCGGGGGGTCGGGCTGTGCTCCAGGGAGCAGGGACAGGAGGAGAGGGAACGGCCTGAAGCTGGGCTAGGGGTGGACAGAGTGGACACCGGCAGGAATTTCCCCATGGAAAGGGTGCTCAGGCACTGGAACTGCCCAGGGAGCTTTGGAGTGCCCATCCCTGGAGACGCCCAAGGAATTCCTGGCCGTGGCACTCAGAGCTCTGGGCTGGGGACAAGGTGGGGATCAGGCACAGCTGGAAGCCGGTGGCCTTGGAGAGCTTTTCCCCAGCGGTGCCGGAGCCGGGGCCAGCCCGGAGCCGTGGCCGCTCCCCACTAGATGGCGGCTGAGACCGGCCCCTCACGGCACCTGTGCCCGGGGTGGCACCGCGCCCCGCACACCCGGGCCCCCTCCGTGCCCGGGCAGCAGTGTGACCCGGCCCGGGCCCCCGGCCTGTGGGGCTGCTCGGACTGGGGACAGCGCTCGCCCTCCCGGCTGTGTCCCCAAACTCACAGCCCCAAACCTCCTGTGTTCCTGTTCTGTTCCTGCTCTATTCCGTTTCTCCTCTGTTTCTCCTCTGTTTCTCCTCTGTTCCTCCTCTGTTTCTCCTGTGTTCCTGCTCTGTTCCTGCTCTGTTCCTGCTCTATTCCGTTCCTCCTCTGTTTCTCCTCTGTTTCTCCTGTGTTCCTCCTCTGTTCCTCCTCTGTTCCTCCCCTGTTTCTCCCCTGTTTCTCCCCTGTTTCTCCTCTGTTTCTCTGCCTCCCCCTCCTGCGGTGTGTCCCCTCAGGGTCTGCTGGCTCCTCCACATGTGCTGGGTGCCACGGCCGCTCTGGATGTGCCTCTGGAGCTCCCCGTGCCCTGCTCCTGTCCCAGTGCTCCTGGTGGCACACCTGTCACTGGTCCTGGAGCTGCTCCAGCCCTGCTGCTGGAGATGCCACCCGTGTTGGTGTGGCAGTGACAGCAGAGCCCAGCCCCGCATTCCTGCCCAGCGCACCTCTCACCTCCTCCTTGGATATTGCTTCTGGGAATTCTTTCTGAAATTGCTTTTCATTTTCCTTGTCTAATTATACAAAATAGTGAGAGATTTATTTCCCAGTGGAAACGCTGTCTTTTGAACTCACTCCAGTGCTTTCAACCTCGGCATTTTTGTCATTTTGGCTCATTCAAAAAATAAATTCACTTGAAGGACTTCAGTCCCAGTGTGGCTGCAGGAGGATGGACAGGCACCCACTGCTCGCCTTCCCAACCCCTTGTGCTGGGACTCACTGGAGCTGCAGATCTGCTTTGTCTTGTGAATTCATTCCATCTCAGTTATCAGAGATGGTAGAAAAAGCCTCACCCAGAGCATCTTTGAGCACAGACGGTGTCTGTGGCCTGAGCTCTCTGCACGGGGAGCCCGTGGGCGAGTGCCGGAGCGATCGCCGTGTTCTCTGCTCTGCTCTCCCCAGGGTCTGCTCCCTGCCTGCCTCTTCTGTGTCTTTCCTCACAGCCTTTTTCGTGCTGAGCTTTGATTATGTTCTCAATCCCACAGACATGTTTCTGTCAGCTTTCTGGAAAATATGTTTTTTTGTGTGCTCTGTCTTGCAGGTTTTCATGGCCTTCATCCTGCCTGGGTTTGTTTGCTTATAGCAGATTTCTTTTGTTGTTCTCTATGACCTGAGTCATTCCTGTTGCTGCTTCTCCATCTCCCTGTCTCTCTCTTTAGTGAACAGAACATTTTTTCCCCACTCTACCCACTCCTAATGTCTAAGTTTCTATTGTTTACTGCTTCTATTTGCCTCTGCTCTGTTCCCCAGCCCAGACAACCCAGTGAACTTTCCCTGAACTGGAGCTCAGTCTCTCCATGCTCTGGGGGCATTG